AACCGATTTGATTCTCCTTGAAATATGTTGTTAAATACACAAATCTAAAAGACACGTATTTTTTTATACGTGCGCAATTTGAGTTTTAAGGGGTGAAACACCCCTTTAAAGAATAACGGTATTTTTCTTTAGGATCAAATATCTGCTAAACTATAAGAGATATAAAGAAAAAACGTACAACAAATTTTAATGGCTTGAAGAGTACTTTAAAGTTATATGAACAAAAATTTTTTTTTTTTTTTTTTTTTTTTAAAAAACCCTCACCACCTAATTTTTTTTTCAAAATTAAAAATTTTGTTTTACCTAATTTAAAGCTTATTTTTTTCCAAATTCAACCATGTGTAATAAAGTTATGTTACGAAATATCATTTTCGAAAATTAATTATAAACGCTCCCGTATATACGCTCATCCGTGCTATGTGCGTAAGTAATTACCGTCGAACAATAAAATATATAAAAAATGTTTTTGTATAATTCTTATTTATGTTTTCTATGTATTTATAACTGCGTATTGTGTATATTTAGATTTAAAAAAAATTTTTAAATATAATTAATAAGAATTTTTTAAATATACCCCCTGCTTTCTTATTATTTCTTTAATATTTAATTTCTTCTATAAAAATTAAAAACAATTATATTTTATAATAAAATTATTTTTTAATTGAATCTTGCGAATACCAATGTCGCAATATTTGGCATAAACAAATTTTATATCTTACGTTAAATGAATCATAAGATAAGATTATGTGTACGTGTTCCAGATAAGTTATAATTTTTACAATAAAATCTTTAATACGTTAAAATAAATAATAAAATAAGATTATGTGATGACGTATTTCTGATAAGTTAATATAAATTGTTCATGTAGCAGCATAATTCTCACAGTCGGTGTAGTCTTTTCGTTGTAATAATATCTGTGTAAACTGTTCTTTTATTGCAATAGAAAGCAAAATATAACATCTTTGAATATGATTATCAATCCGCTTAACGTTGTTAGACTTTTATTGGTGTCAATAAATTCAATATATTTAACAGAAACGCCAGTAACTGAAGCAGAAGTGGAATTAAAGGAAAACATTAAAAAAATATTACTGGATAGCGTTTTTCATTATAATGGGGTGGAAGTAACGGAAGAAATATATCTCGATTATGAAGAACCTTATAAATTACATAGTTTTGAAATAATTGAAGATGACGAAGAAGCATGGCATGAAGATAGTTTAAATTCTCATCCTCATTGTTCAAATGATGATACAAATTTTGATAGTTCTTATAAAAGACGAGCTGTTGAGTATTGGCGATTTCGGGACACTGATGAAAACAGTAATGACAGAAAAAGGAATCGTCCTCTAAGAGTAGTACAAAATAAATTTAGAAGAGTTTCATCTGAACGTCAGTTAAGGCGATGGGAAGAACAAATACAATCAGGTGGAAGTCGTACAGAAAAATTATCTTACATCTCCAAATTTACACATGATAAATTTACTGCAGCTGTCGAATCAGGATTCATGGTTCATGATATTGATTTAAAAAGATGGGCTTTACAAGCTCAAGAAGAAATAGGAAATTTAAATCCTATATTTAAAGCATCTCACAGTTGGATAGCAAGATTTAAGAAGTCTCACCGAATTGTTTCAAGAAAAGTTACGAAGTTTGTCACTAGAAGAACATTAGAAGATTCTGCTGATTTGCAAAAATCAGCTGATGATTTTCTGGAAACAGTAAAACCTCTTATTGAACAGTTTGGATCTGAAAATATTTACAATTCAGATCAAAGTGGTTTCCAATTGGAACTTCACTCTGGAAGATCATTGTCTAACCAGGGAGAAAAGAAAGTAGAACGTGTCGTGCAATCCATATCATCAACAACCCATTCATATACGATACAACCAATAATATCCTGTAATGGCAATTTGTTGTCCCCTTTATTTATTGTATTAAAAGAAGCTAATGGTAAATTTGGACCAAGAGTACAAGAAAATTTATTTAAAGCAGAAAATGTTATTGTAAAAGCATCGAAATCTGGTAAAATGACATCAGGTATTTTCCTTTTATAATTACTTTTTTTAACAACCTTATTTTATTTAACAATTTAATAAGAGTCATAAAAAAACTATTAAATTAACATTTATATTTTGTACAGATCATTTTAAAATGTGGTTAGAAGAAGCTTATTTCGCAAACATTGGTCCTAATAGCGTTCTTCTTATCGATTCATGGACTGGACATTGCCCCAATATGATTTCGGATTTAACACCTCCTGGAACACATATTACTACTATGATAATACCGAAAGGAACTACAGGGAAAATACAACCATTAGATGTTTATGGATTCAGAATTTGGAAAAATTTTGCTAAAAGATTTTCAGATGCGGTTTTACTGTTGGAAAGTAATATAAACTTACATGAACGAAATAATATAATAAAATTGCAATCTTTGATACATAATCAATTGTCATCCCCACGATATCAAAACTTATTTAAATATTCGTGGTTTAAAAGTGGTTATACGAATGAAAGACCAGACGAATTCGAAAATCCAGTACACTTTAGTTTAGACGAAACTTTAACAAAATGTGATATCGAAGGTTGCAATAATATAGCTGTAGTAAGATGTTCTTGGTGCAAGAAGTCATTATGTTTGAAACATTTTTTTGTCGAATATCATTATTGTAATGTGTATAATGAGTGAATAATATAAAATGCAAATACATTTTTAAAAAAATCTAAATATACACAATACACAGTTATAAATACATAGAAAACATAAATAAGAATTATACAAAAACATTTTTTATATATTTTATTGTTCGACGGTAATTACTTACGCACATAGCACGGATGAGCGTATATACGGGAGCGTTTATAATTAATTTTCGAAAATGATATTTCGTAACATAACTTTATTACACATGGTTGAATTTGGAAAAAAATAAGCTTTAAATTAGGTAAAACAAAATTTTTAATTTTGAAAAAAAAAATTAGGTGGTGAGGGTTTTTTAAAAAAAAAAAAAAAAAAAAAATTTTTGTTCATATAACTTTAAAGTACTCTTCAAGCCATTAAAATTTGTTGTACGTTTTTTCTTTATATCTCTTATAGTTTAGCAGATATTTGATCCTAAAGAAAAATACCGTTATTCTTTAAAGGGGTGTTTCACCCCTTAAAACTCAAATTGCGCACGTATAAAAAAATACGTGTCTTTTAGATTTGTGTATTTAACAACATATTTCAAGGAGAATCAAATCGGTTCCGGACAGTTGTGACATGTCCCTTGTAAGCCATACACAACCGCGTTGGATGGTTCTTCGCGTTGCTCGTCCGCTGGATGAGAAATCCGTGGACTGTGTTAAAAATCGTCCAACGCAATTATTGCGGAACGTAAGGTCTGACGTCCTCTCCAGATACATCACAGTATAAGTAGAAGTCTGTATTCGGGATATGTAGCTTGCGAAGATCCATCCTGTAGAAGTCGCTTCAATTCGTCGTCGCTCAGTTGGTGTGTTGCCAGTTCATCGTAACTATAGTCGGCATGTCTATGGTATTAATTCTCGATAATGTGTCAGCGATAACGTTGCTATCTCCAGCAATGTGCACAATATTGGTAGAGAATTGGCCAATCCAGTCGAGATGTCTCATTTGACGTAATGTTGTTTTTATCCGATTTTTTATTAAAAACATAAATGAGCGGCTATGATTCGTCATTATTGTCAATTCTCGACCCTCCATGAAGTGTTGGAAAAGCTTGATAGCTCGGTAAATAGCCAAAAACTCACAATCATATGTACTGTAATTCATCTCTGCTAGGCTTATCTTTTTGGAGAAAAATTCAAGCGGTTGCTAAGAGTTATTGCAACGCTGTTCAAGAACGGCGCCGACTGCTGTGGCAGATGCATCGGTGCGTAATAATAACGGTGCGTTGTCCAGTGGATGCGCAAGCAATGTTGCGTCGGTCAACTGTGTTTTGCATGCTTCGAAAACCTTTTCTGTTGCGGCTGTCCATGATATCGGGCGCTTGTCTCGTCTCTTTGCCCCTGTGAGTAAGGCGTGGAGTAGGCTCTGAACTGCGGCGGCACCCTTGATAAAACGTCTGTAAAAATTAAGCATACCCAGAAAACGTCGTAGTTCGATGATATTATTCGGTTTTGAAAAATCACGAATTGCTTGAACTCGAGAAGGTAGCGGCTTGGTGCTCTGTACGTCTACCAGGTATCCAAGTTACTCCACTTGGTCTGCTCCAAAACAGCATTTTGATATATTGATCAATAAGCCGTGCTCTCATAATCTCTCGAGCACCAATCGTAGATGTTGATGGTGCTGCTCTGGATCAGGCGATGCGATGAGAATGTCATCTATATAGCAGTGTGCGAAATCGAGTCCACACAGTACTGCGTCCATCAGACGTTGAAAATTTTGTGCGGCGTTACGCAGGCCAACCGTAATGAACGTTAAATTCATACAGACCGAAAGGTATGATGACAGCAGTCTTCGAACAACCGGTGCAATGGGTATTTGATAATACGCCCTCGACAAATTTAGTGTCGTGAAAATGCGACATCTTTGAAGACGATGCGAGAAATCGTGGAGATGCGGTAATGGGTAGTGGTCTGGGATGGTGACAGCATTCAAACGGCGGTAGTCTCCACAGGGACGCCAATCCCCTGTCTTTTCTTGACTAGATGAAGCGGACTGGCCCAAGGACTGCTCGACGGGCGGCAGATGCCTTCAGCCATCATACGCGCGAATTCTTTACGAGCAGCTTTTAACTTTTCGGACGGCAAACGTCTCGCCCGTTCGGCAACCGGCGGTCCTCGTGTCTGAATGAAGTGACGTACCTCGTGTTTAACCTCGATGCGATGGGCTGATCTGGTAACCTCATTGAATTCCTTAAGTAAGTCTGCGTATGGAATTGTGCGATTTATCGTGGATACAGCGGAAGACGGGACTCGAACTAGCTGTCCGACGAAACCCATCCTCGTCCCTCCGTCCACAAGTTGTCGTCACCGAAGGTCGATCATCAGATTATGATGTGTGAAGAAATCGGCACCTAAAATTGCCTGCGTCACGTTCGCAACGATGAAGATCCACTCATATTTACGGCGTCTGCCAAGATCGACTGCAATTAGCTTTTCGCCGTATGTAGCGATAGTTGATCCGTTTGCCGCAAAAAGTTGATATGTTTTTGATATCGAGTTCTCTCTGGCTGCTTTGCGTGGCAACACGGAGACATCGGCCCTCAAATCCACCAAATAACGCATTCCGGATGTGGCGTCTGTAATGATGAGGCATCGTTCAGCTTGGTTAGTCTCTCCGCTTGCCTCGATGCGGTTTGGCTGATTCAGTTTCCCGACGGCGGTGGTGTGCCAGGCCAGGCACATGGTTGTCGACATTTCTTCGCATTGTTTCCAAATTTTGAATGGTAGTAGCATACGGCTGTCTTTTGTTGTCAAGGTGTGCTCCGGCTGCAAAAACGTGGACGCGAGCATGAACGGCGTCTTGTCCGGCGATCAGGATATGATTTTCTCGGACTTGACGTGTCAACTCCTCAATACGGCGATGCAATTCGGCAATTTCAGTTGAATGATCCGGTATTGACAAAGAATTCACGGCGTTGATTCGCGGGGCACCTCTTGTGTAATCCATGATTTCATCAGCTTGAAGTGCGAGCTGGACTAAATCAGCCGTATCGTTGGCGGCGAGGATTCCTCGGACAGGATCAGGCAATCGCTCTAAAAATAGAGTGCGTAAAACTGAATGGGAACATTGTCCTGCTGCTAAATTTCGAAGACGTTGTAGACAATAAGACGGCCTCTCTTCACCAAGGTCTAATCCCTGCAGCAATCGTCGGAGTTTCGACTCACTAGATTCATCAAAAGACGAAATAATTCGGGCCTTCACTGCATCGTATTTATTTCGTGCAGGCGGTGATGCGACAATGTCTGCAATAAATGGCAAGAAGTTAAGATCAAGGTGGAGGATAACGTACCGGAATTTTGACTCATCACTCGTTATTTGTGACAATGCAAATCCAGCCTCGACCTGGGCAAACCATAACATCGGTTCTCACGCCAGAAAGGCGGCAGCTTAATCAGCTTCGTCACATTAACGTTAGCTTCCTCGGTGTCTTGAAAAAAAGGCACACGTGTTGTACTTGCACTTGGCGCATCCGTTACTGACTTGTTATTCACGGACGCGGTCTCACGCGGCGGCGTACGTTGGAGTGACATCGTATATAAAATTGTCTGTCGTGACACTCAGATAACCCGGTATAAACTTGTGTCACAAAATGTTCGCGAAAAGTTCTGCGGCACGCACAAAAAACTGTAATTCTATTCAAATTACAACGGATGTCTGTTTATATCGATGTCCTCTCATGAAAATTGCTTTCCGCGGCACAACACGATCGTATCACGTGACTGTCAGCTCACTCAGCGGTCGCGCAGGTATGCGATCACGTGACGGCACGTGGGAACCACGTGACTCGCCAACACTCAGAAACGCTGATCACTCGCGAAAAATGCAAAGATGCACGTTAATTAATACTCGTAATTGTGCAATCATGTCAGTCGCGCAATCAGATCACGTCGGGAATTCCCGATTCAGCCGACTTTCGGACCAATATTTTTCTCGCCTATTTCTTTACAGGGAAAGTTAAGAGAGGAACAAGGGAAATTTCTGAGATCCCAACCATAGGATACAAATTCCTTAGTTAATTCTGCAATTAGTAATTGCTCGATGAAATCAAGTCCTAAATTAAATGAATTAGAAGGTTCGTTGATAGAGGATTCAAATGAATAGTAGGTTTGTTGATCGAGGATTCAAATAAACTAGAAGATTCGTTGATCGAGGATTCGATTTTCGTATCAGGAGGAGTTGTCTGCGATTAGTAATAACTCGAAAAAATCAGTTCTGAAATCAAAAGAATTAGGTGGTTCGTCGATCGAGGGTTCAATCTTCGTGTCAGGGGGGGATTCAATTTTCGTATCAGGAGAAGTTTTCTTGTCTGCGACGAGTTTATTGTTAAAATCTGGTTGAGTAGATGAAGTTTTTAACTTTTCTATAGTCTCCGGAGAAAAGACAACTATCTGATGCACAATTTAATGCGAAGTTTATTATTCAATGACTGTCGTCTGAGCCAGAGCAAGGTCGACGCGACACGGCTAGCATGAGTTTTTCTTACCTGCTTTATGATTACGTTTCCTCCGACGTGCGATTTTCTGTTCTCGGGTTTTCATTTATAATACGTCATAGTAGTGAAATACGTCATAGTAGTGAAATATCTATTTTAATAAGGAGATATTACTAGGAAGATATTAATAAGAGGGATGTACTGAGAGAAATTACATCAATATAAATCGTGTCCTTTACATGCTCTTAATTTCAAAACCAAAAGGAAGGTTAAAGAGTAGGGGACTTTTAATAGGAAATAATCAGGGTGTTGATAGGAGAATTTGCTATCGGGGCACTTTTCGGTGCTCGGGGGCGATGAAAATATGAAGATGCAGGTGAAGAGAATTATTCAAATAATAACAGGAGTTCTGACTTTACATTAAGATCTATCATCTGATATTGATGTATTTCTTATTGATAGGATAGAGTTAATAATAAGACGTTGTTGGTGACGTATTCAGGTTAACAAAGTTTGATTAATTACATTATTAAAGAATAATAATTGAAAGATGATTGGATAATAATTGAAAGAAATGGGCACAATCTTCAAACCTTGTTCGAATTTTTATGCAACGCGGGAGTGTTAGGTGATCTGTAAGATTAACAGATTCACCTTTAGACGACGAACTCATCGTTGACCTGTGATGTACTTAGCCGGCTTCGCTCCCTCGCAAGGACCTCGGTCGTGGAGTGCTTATGGCAAAATCAAACACTAGGTTGTACGATGCGCGAAAGTTCTTTATTCGTCTTTTTAACCCGGTTACAAATTGAGCGCGATTATAAAATTAAAAAGTCAACGAGATCGATGATTAACCCGTGACTTAAACAAAACGCCAAATTACGGCAACTAAGTGTCGTTGACAAAATCATATATTCCGAGATTCACGTTAAGACTTAATCTCGTTATGATTTTCTATGATGATGTGCTGTAGCGACTTTTTAGGATGAAATTGTAGTCACGCTCTTCGACATCAGTGACAATTTTAGATGAAAGTACCGTAGCGAACTTTTATGATAAAATGCCGTCGTTGGGCTAGATTTTCTAGGGTTTATATATCCCTTGAAGACAAAAAATCTTGGTGTCGTGTATTTATTATAATATCTTCCTGGAAAGCCAATTTTTGGGTAGGAGGATTCCCACGAAAACGCTTTCCAGGAAGATATTATAATAAATTGATCTCACAAGCGAAGGGGGTTGTTTTGACAGTTCTGAGAAGTCGATGAGTGCGCTCGACTTTTGACCAAATATGGTCATAAAATGAGAAAATATAAGCTCAAATAAGTCGTAAAAGTCTACGGGGTATTCGCGATTCATTGGTCATCGAGTTTTACGACGTGCAGGTGTCAGCATTCAACGTCGTAGATGCGTACGGCACGAGATCGCTTATCGCAAAATCGGGGGCGGTTCGCGCGACAAAGAAAGTTCAAACAGTAGCCACACGCTGTGATTTCTATTGTTCGCTTGTTAGCTTCTGTACGTTTCTGAAATCGTTCTCTGTATAATTTTTTATATAAGTTTTTTTCCTATATAATTTTCTGCTATATTTAGTTTGTTATTGAATTTGTTGTTTAATATAATGATTCAAAATAAAATTATGATTGCTAAATTATATAGTGATGATTTCACAACATAATACATCCTTAATTATGGTGAGATGTCGTTATATTCATGGAATCTTTATTTATATGAATATATTGAAAAAGGAGAACAGTATCTGATATTAAGTATTGTAATAATCTAGATAATTTTTATTATTGATGGTAGTGATTAAGATAATAAGGTTCCATAAATATATTATAAGTGAGGCGCATCGTTTATGTTTGCTTACAAATGAAAGAATAAAGGTTTTATAAAATATTCTGTGACAAATAGTCGGTCATTAGAATTTATCAATTTTTATAATTCATTCACCATTGTGTGATTAAAATATTTATTCCGACGATTCATCATATTAACTATTCCATAAATAATATAATATTATTCAATTTCAAACACGTTGATTATAGGGTTTACACATTGGTTAATAGGTTTGCACACATTGATTAATAGGTTCACACACATTGATTAATATTTTGCATTTATCATTTATATCGCTAGAGTCGCGCGAACGTGTAATCTTCCATAGAAACTGTCAAGTAAGAGACGTGCAAACTGGCGATCATGTTGGAATTGGTTAATGGCTGACTTCGCAAGAATATGACGGAAGCAATGAAATAATCTTATTTTAAACATACTGATAAAGTAAAGACACGGTAGAAATAAATTCAGTGAAACTGATTTGAAGAATTTATACATATATATTAAACAAAAGGAAAGCGAGAAGGGCAAGAATTATTGTGAATTAATTATTTTAAATATTTACAAATTTATAAATCATTGAGACATACCTCTCAATGTTCTGACAAAATTGTAATAAGACATAAAATAATAAACATGGTTAAACATATTACATAAAATCAACTAAATTAAAGAAAAGAAAGTTCGTATATCATAATTTTAATTAGAAAAAAGATATAACGATAGATAAATCAATAATCTTGGATCTTATGATCAACGTTCAATATATCCCAGCAAACACCGATATATAACTGTTACATTGCTATAATAATACGGAATGTAACAGGTAATATAACGTGTACGTTACATGTAACATCCATGTTAGTTGTAATTTCTCACTCATAGATGTAACATTTTTAATATAACATATATTATATTGTAGTTATATTGTAATTATATATCAAATAGCACATTGATGTATTGATAAATTAGTGCTATCTTGGGATATAATGACAATATAACTACAATGTAATATATGTTATATTAAAAATGTTACATCTATGAGTGGGAAATTACAACTAACATATACGTTACATGTAACATGCTTGAATACTATAACATTTATATACCGTGTTTACTGGGATAGTTCATTAATTTTCATTAAATACGACTGGATAATTAAGAGATGATTAATTATATCTAAATATATTCAAGACGTGAACTAAAAAAACATAATCTACACTCCATTCCTCTCAGCCAATAGAGCCACACGCGATGTTATTGCGACAATTATGAAAGAAAGAAAATTTGGAAACTAAAGAATTTGAATCCTATGGTTGGGATATCAGAAATTTCCCTCGTCTCTTTGCAAATTGTCTTGTATATAAGATGAAGCTAATTTAATTTGATATATACCAACTGTAAGGTTTTTTATAAAGTCCAGTGTCAAGATTGGAAAATCGAACAATTGTTCAGCATCTAAACGTACCCACTGTTGAGCATTCTTGGTTCTGAGATTTTCAATCTCAACTAGTGCTTGGATGACGTTTGGTTCCTTCGCCTTTTCAAGTAATTGTTGAGCCATCTCAGCGTTAACTCCTTCCATAAAAATGGGGGATGGTACTTATTTATAATAGCTCCAGCTATCCGATAAAAATCTCCCAGATTTGGAAGATGCTGAATTTGTATCATTTGCTAAAAAAATTTGAAAATAGATTTAATATGCCTGTTTCTAGTTTCTACTATCCATCTTGTCTTTATAACGAGACGCGAATCATTCGCATCCTCTGTGGAGAGTTGACGTTTGTTTACTTCAAGAAGTGCCGGCATATGCCATGAAATACCTAAACGGGTTAGTAGCTCAGTGGAATCCCGGTATCCTCTGTCCACTATAATAATATCATTTTCCTGGAACCATCTAATCATTCTTTCAGCATCTCTTACAAATTTATTTTGCAGAATAGCAGCGTCATTATTCCGGTCATCAGAGAAGTACGGCCCTTGAATTTCGAGTATTTAGCCGTCAGGTGCGACTATCAAAACAGGTTTAACTAGATGTCATTCCTTGTAAACGCAATATGATTGCCGGAGTGCTCGAAAATTACTACTTTTTGGTATATAGCTGTAAGTACCGTCAATGTATGCGATTACTCGAGGAATATGTGACTCTGGATTATATAATTCATTAGCAAACTCCGTCACGTGTCTTTTGATATAATTTTCTCTTGTAATCGCATTGAATCCAATATTGTTAGGAACAAAACGTTGCTTTAAAGATTGTCTGACAGTAGCAATAGCCAGACTTATTGCTTGTCTACTTGAATATTGGAACATAACTTTAAGAAAATTATCAGAAAGTTCCTGACGCATTTTGTACAAGAACATTAACAGATCCTTTTTACTCACATATCTGTAACCATCTTAACAAGGTACTCTATCACAATAAGTAAATAGTTCTCAAAACTGTTGTTTTGTCATAGAGCAAAAACATTCAAATTCATCATCACTCAAACTATTTTCATCGTCAATTCTCGTCAGATTTCTTGCCACATTACGAAGTCCTTGTAAGAATATTTCAAGTTGTTCTCCCTTAATTACGTATAGCCTATTAACAAAACGTAAACCAAGTAACAAAGGTTGGAAAATGAAGCCTTGATCATCTAAATGACGTCTACATGATTTAACGTTTTCGGAAATGAAAATATTTCGTAAAATGAAAACATTAGCTTTACATTCGACTGATATCCTGCGTATATCATTAGTGGCATTACAGATCAGACAAGTACTATTTCTAGTTTGCATCAATACATTTAGTCTTAAGCAAGTAGAATCTTCTTCGATTGCAGCTATTTTATTACGAATTGATTGATTACAATTAGTGCATATTCTTGTGAGATGCGTTACATCGAGAGGCGGTCTATCAAATTCCTCTCGTCTCCGAATAGCTATTTCACATTTGTCGGTTCCCATCTCCATCTATTCAAGTCATTAGCCGAAGAATAAATTGTTTATCGCAAACATAACAACGTAAAACGTTTCTAAATGCCATATTATTTAAAATGAATTTAAGTTAGATTATCAATATTGATAACGTTATTATAATGAATTTCTTCAATATTTAATTTAAAAATAAAAATTAAATCGATATTAATATTTACAAACATATAGAACATAAATAATTATGTGAACTTTAGATGATCTTATAGAAAATCTTCAACACAAATATTAGATTAATCGAATATGTCTCAAAACTCTTTCAAGAATCGTACAGATCTGAGATCTTTAAGCGTTTTGAATTAACGTTAACAAACTCGCATATTATATATCAAACTAATCCGACCATTTATGTCTCACATATTATGATACCAAAATAATTATTTTTATATTTTGAAGATATCAATTCTTAGGTGCATATAAAATCATCCTTAGTAAAATCACACATACACATACTCCTCGCTCCACACGCACGCACGCACGATGATGCCGACGGTAATTGTTTAATTATGGTTAATTAATTGCTTACATACATTTCATTATGAAAGATTTAAATACTCAGAATTCAATTGCTTAAAACAAGAGATTTTGCATATTTATCCACTCACCCCCTCCCCCACACTCTCACACCCCTTCCCCCACAATCTCACATTCCCTATCCGCACGCACGCACGCACGCACGCACGCACGCACACACACATACACACACCAAAACACACTACCATGACACTATCATGACCGTACACATTAAGACTACCATGAGCAGATAACCCATTTTTTCAATCTTTGACACTTTATAACTCAAAAACTGTCCATTTTTTGGCCTTGTGCCCATTGACACTTTTCATCAGGATGTAATAACACAGATTAATAGACAGATCGCCAAAGGTCTGGATGAAGAAGAGACCGGCATTTCTCACTGATTTCAGCGCCATATCGTAGTAGTGGTCAATGCAATAACTATTAATACGTTCCCAAGATAAGAGCGTCTCATGCTCATGAACTCGTCCGACGGCATGTACAAGATTTTATCTTTTTGTAGCGTTCGCGTATTTCGGAAAGGACAGAATTTTATGATGTTATAAATAAATAAATAAATAAAAAATTAACCTGACCTATTATAGTTATTAAATCTTTTTTTAATAAATGTTTCATTATTATTATCATCTAAGTCTAAGTCGTTTAATTAATTTTTAGTTTTTTAATAATTAATTTAATTTATTCTAATCATTTTTATATAAGAAAAATACTATTACGTATACGTTTTATAATGAATTAATATATTTCGGGAGTCGAATTATATATTCTTAATAATATAAGTATTCAAAAATTATATTTGACTTTTAATTTTAATTATTTTAGCAAAGAGTTCCAAAATTTCTTACACACATAATTAAAATAAATAATTAACATATATACTTAATTGCGAATCATATGAATGAAAAATATTCCCATAAGAGGGTATTTTTCATTCATATAATTCGCAATTAAGTATATATGTTAATTATTAATTTTAATAAAATAAAAATTAAAATTAAAAGTCAAATATAATTTTTGAACACAAATATATTAATTCATTATAAAACGTATACCCATGATAGTATTTTTCTCGTACAAAAATAATTAGAATAAATTAAATTTGTAACGAAGCACCTTTCCCGACGCCACGGATCGGCTCGTCGGTGCCAGGATTCGGGAAGAGGGGAGACTCAGATTTACAATGACACACGGTTGCTCTGGTAAAAGTAGAGTTTATTCGGGGCCACCTTCCTGTGGTTCTCCCGTGATTCAAACCATTATACACAGCACAGTATAATCGGACGAAACGCGACCAGATGATACAGACGCGTACACGACTTATTGCTAGGATTGACAGATAGAAATATTACGGACGAGACGCGACCAGATTATACGGACGCGGACACGACTTATTGCTAGAGTTTCCAACGCGGACACGCGTACGGGCGCCCTGAGAAGGGCGAGCTCCGTCGGGCGCCGGTGACTTTCAGGTAGGACCCGGTGACCGAGGACGCTCGGCCTGCACGACGAGAACGCTCGTCGGCCGGGGTGATTTACGGACAGGACCCGGTGACCGAGGACGCTCGGCCTGCACGACGAGAACGCTCGTCGGCCGGGGTGATTTACGGACAGGACCCGGTGACCGAGGACGCTCGGCCTGCACGACGAGAACGCTCGTCGGCCGGGGTGATTTACGGACAGGACCCGGTGACCGAGAACGCTCGGCCTGCACGACGAGAACGCTCGTCGGCCGGGGTGATTTACGGACAGGACCCGGTGACCGAGGACGCTCGGCCTGCACGACGAGAACGCTCGTCGGCCGGGGTGAGTTACGGACAGGACCCGGTGACCGAGAACGCTCGGCCTGCACGACGAGAACGCTCGTCGGCCGGGGTGAGTTACGGACAGGACCCGGTGACCGAGAACGCTCGGCCTGCACAACGAGAACGCTCGTCGGCCGGGGTGATTTACGGACAGGACCCGGTGACCGAGGACGCTCGGCCTGCACGACGAGAACGCTCGTCGGCCGGGGTGAGTTACGGACAGGACCCGGTGACCGAGAACGCTCGGCCTGCACGACGAGAACGCTCGTCGGCCGGGGTGATTTGGAGTGTGGGAGTTGAGGAGTGATCCCTGAGTACGCTCGAGGGACCAGGACGGGACTGGTGTCGAAGTCTCGGCTGCGCCGCTCTTTATACCCGTCGGCCACCCCACTCTAAGACTAGCTTGGAGGGGGTCGAGTGACGGGTGGGGGCGAAAAGGCGGATTCCCAACGTATTCGTGTGGTGGCCCCGAAAGGGGCCGTTTACACGAGCGCGGGCGACTAGTGACGGCTAATCGGGTCGTCACATCACCCTCCTTTTCTAGGGGGGGTGGCTATTCGACGGATCGTTCGCGGTCTTCCTCGTCGGTCGAATCTGATGATCCACCGGCCCGTCGGGGTGCGTACCTTATACCGCCGTGAGATGGTGGCGGCGTGGTACGGTATGTCGACGGTTTGGCCATCCCCCAGAGTGACCTGGATGGGTCGTGGCGGTCCCGGGCGTGGTGCTGGCACTGGTGGGGCCTGGCCGGTTGGAGGTCGGCGTGGTGCCGGTTGGGGTGGCTCCCTGGCTGGTGGCGCGACAAGGGATCGCACCTGTTGGCCTGTGTTGGCGCGATGCGCTGGCTGGTCCGCTTCGTCAGGCGTCGCTGACTGGCGCGTGGTGGCTGGCGGTGCGACAGCGGATGGCGTGTGTCGGCGGGTGCCGGTTGAGGGAACCGATCGGTTCGCGGATGGTCGAGCGGGCTGGCGTGCGCTGGCCGGTGTCGTCGTGGGCCTGGTGACGCCGGCGACGGTGGAGGCCGGGGAGTCGGAGAGGACCGGTGGTCGTCGATGCCGGGTGTTCACCGGGATAGGTCGGCGTCTGCCCGGGGGAGGCGGAGGTGCCTCCAAGAGCACCAAGTTCCGACGTCGCTGCTCGGCGTCGGACCGCTGGATGCGGGTCCCTATTCCCGGTACTGGCCGGGTGGTTCGCCCGGAAACGGGCAGATTTCGTCCGGAAACGGACGGATTTTTTTTTTGAGCGCTGG